CCCCCCCCCAGCCCAGGCCCGCGCGCCCCGGGGCAGCGCTGTGCCCTGGGAGATCCGGCCCCCTGGTGGGCGGGCTGCGGGGCTGGGGCAGGCTGGCTGGGAAAGGATATCGATGAAGATCCGACAGGCGATGTCCCGCAGCTCGGTGTCGGCGTGGACGCGCCGGAGCAGAGGCTGCCGCAGCGGCTCGACTGAGTGGGCCCACAGGCGGCCCCGGGGCCGGGCCAGGGGCAGCACGGCTCTGCTGACCGTCTCCTTCTCCGGGACCCTGTCAGGGATCGAGGCGGGGGTGAGGGCCCCCCTCACGCCTCCTCTGCCCGTGCCCCTCTCTGTCCCCTCCCCACCATGAGCCACACGCACACAGTGGCAAGAGAGCCCCAGGCTCCAGTGCAGGTCTCCACGGGGATGCCCTCTGTGCCCACAGCTCTCAGCTCAGAAACAGGGTGGAGGGGGGAGGGTCAGAGGGTCCCCTCCCTGCCCAGCGAGGCCAAGCGGGCAGTGCACCTGCTTTCATGGCCTCAGCCCCCGGGGAGCGGAGAGCGAGGCTGCTTGGGGTGGGTTCTGGGGGTGGGCAGGGCAGTCACCTAAAAAACTCATAGGAGAATTCCTCCAAGGTGTGCAGCTTCTCCTCAGGCCGCTCCTCAGGGGCCGGATCTGCGGGCCGCCCCTCCTGGGCTGCCAGCTTCCGCTTCTCTGGTGGCATGGCCAGCAAGCTCTGTGAGGGCATGGGCCTGTGGGTGTCCAGGAGCCCCTGCCCACTAGCTCCTCCTGGCCTGGTTGCCTCAGAGACTCGGGAGGGGCCGGACCACGGGGCTGGATAGGCCTGGGTCTACCCTTCTTGTGTCACCTGCTGTGTGACCCAGGATCAGTGACTCAGTGTCTCTGAGCCTGTTTCCCTTCCCTTAGGAGGGCTCTCGGGCCCACTCCTTCTGGCCTCAGCACAAGTGCCAGTCCCTCAAGGATGCCTTCCCAGACAGGGCAAGCCCCCGCCCTAGGATTTGCTCCCATAACAACAGGTACTCCTTCTTGGTGGCACTTCGTTCACTTGCCATCAAGTCGTCATTCGTCCCAGTGCTCCTTGAGGGTGGAGCTACTACTGTGTTCAATCCCGTACTGCAGGCGCGGGGCACACAGTTGGCACTCAATACATGGCTGGAAGGCCTGTCTGTCCTGTCTCCCTGGGGGGCTGGTCTTGGGCACTGGGGTGGGGTGGCTGTCAGGGGTAGGGAGACTCGAGCCCCCAGGGTCAGGGTTTAAATGAGGCTGAGACAAGGACGGATGCATCCCCAGGACACTCCCTGGTGGGAGGGGTGGAAGGAATGCCCACTGATTGAGCACTTACTAAATGCCGAGCGATGCACCAGGCACTCACTGCATAAGCACTTCCTACCTCTCCATCACCCCAGAAGGACGATGGGCCCGGCAGAGCTGACGTGATTGCCCAGGATCCGTGAGGTGGGTCCCCGGCCCCTGAGCTCGGACCCCAGGCTGGGCATCTCGGCCACTTCCCCAGGTGCCCACGGGTACCCAGCTGAGGGCAGGGGAGCATATGAGTTACCAGCAGCTCTGCCGAGGGCTTGGTGACCGTTGGGATGATGTAGACGCAGGCCGTGGGCACCAGCCCCGTCTTCTTGGTCCTGTCATTCTGGGCCAGGGTCCAGTTCTCAGAGGTCAGCAACCCCTGCTTCTCTGTCAGGATCAGCAAGTCTCCCTTCTTGAAGGGCAGGAGGGTGGCATCCTCTACAAATCCAGGTCACACAGACACACACACGGGGCAGAGAAGATGCCGTTTCCCAAGGGCTTAGCGGAGGCCACAGGCTGTGCTGGCATCCTGTGGGCCATCTCCTTCGACCGGTGGGGAAACGGCGATGCAGAGCGGTGGGCCCAAGGCCACCCTGACAGTGAGCTGGTGGTGGGATTCCCAGAGCTCTGGCCCTCAGGGGGCCTGGACAGGCACAGAGCCTGGGGTGGCAGGAGCTGGGGAGACCTGCTCAGACGCCTGACCAGGAGATGGCTGGCAAGTCGGGAGGCAGGTGGACCAAGGGAACAGAATACCAGCTGGCAGTCACCAAGCCTGCCCGGGAGCTGGGTGACCTCTCTGAGCCTATTTCCTCAACTGTAAAATGAAGAAAGTCATCCCTCCCTCCTGGGGCTGCTGTGAGGATGGAGTGGGCCCCAGGGGCAAAGCTTCTGCTGACGTTTCTTACTGCACTTAAGACCCTGTGCACAGCCCTCCCCTGCCCCCTCCCTCCTGAAGCCTGATTTCCAGCCGTGCTCAGGGAAGCCGTGGCCAAGAACTCGACTGCCCGGGCTCACTCCGCCCCCAACCCCCCTCCTGAGCTGTGTGGCCCTGGACAAGTTGCGTCCCTTCTCTGAGCCTCCAGTCCTTGCCTTGTAAAATGGGACAACAGGGCAGCTGTGGGGATGGTATGAAAGGCACGGGTGGGTGGCCCAGCTGTTCTCTGCAGGTGAGGGCGCTGGCCCTCCCCATGCTTCCGGCACGACGACAGCCCTCAGCGCACTTCACTTTGGAGGGTTTGAGACCCCTCCTGGAGACCCCTCATCTTGCACACGGGAAGGCCTTGCCTACAGCTGCCCCCCGAGGGCTTGGTGGCCTCTCTCCCTCTCTCTGCTCGAGTCCTTGTGCCCCGCCTGCCACATCACCACTGGGACCTGGCACGAGCAAGCCACCCACCTTCACCGGGTCCCCTCCCCACCTGGCTGGGTACCTGTGGCCTTTCTGTCCTGCAGGGCCATGGCGAACACGGACCTCTCCTTCAAGCCCTCCAGAAACATGGCCACCAGCTCGGCGATGGCCACGCTGCTGGGGGACCTGAACTCGAACTCCTCTTCGTGCAGCGTGACGAGCACCAGCCTCTGCCCACCCTGGGCCTCCCTGAGGGGGAAAGGGGGCAATGAGACCAGAGGTCTACTCCACCCTCCCCCTGGGTCAGCCCCTCGACAGCCTGGGAGGGGTGACCCTCCTGAGTTACAGATGAAGAAACCGAGCAGTGAGTCCAGAGCCATGGCAGGGCCACGGGCTGAGAGCAAGTCTGCCCCGGTCCCAGGCCCCGCTGTGTGTGTGGGCAGGTAAGCCAGAGCTTAGGCTCCCATGGGCTCCAAACGCAGTGGTGGTACTGAGCCCCAGTCTGTGGGGTCGGCTCAGGGCAGGCAAGGTGGTGGCCAGCGTGGAGGGCCACCACGGGGCCACCGCAAAGAGCGTGGAGCGCCAGCCTGGGTGAGCTTGGGCGAGCTACCCAGCCTCTGTGTGCTTCCGTTTATTTATCTGCAGACTGGGTGCGCTGGGGGGACTTACTGGCATAGCAGGGAACGCCCAGCACAGTCAGCCTCAGTAAGTGGTGGCCGGCCTGCGCCCTGCACACACTGGTAGTGACCACAGTGGCCATGCCACACGGGGCTGTGCTTTAACCAAACAGGGCCTCTGGCAGGGCACAAGCAGGCCTTCCCGAAGGGCATGGAGGCCTTTTCAGAAGGTGAGAGCCGTGGAGAGCACGGGGACAGGGTGTCCGAGGTCCCACCAGGCGTGCAAGGCCGCCCTCCTGCTGTTCTGTGCCCTGCACACGCGGCCCTGTCCCTCGCTCCCTCTCCCAGGTGGCTGGCACCTCCGAGTGAGTGCTTCACCCCCGTGAGAAGGGAAGGAGCCTGTAAGTAAACGTACACGCTGGAGGCTGCAAGCTTATGTGCCCCTTTCCGGCTGGGTTCTAAAGGAAGCTTGAGAAGGCAACGCGTGATGTGCAGACACAGTGCTGGCCCTGGGACAGTGGAAGGTGGGTCCCGATCCAACAGCCATCACACCACATGTGTGACATGGTATGAGCCAGCCGGGCTCCCAGGGACAATGTCCCTCCTCCTCTCCCTGTCTCTCCTGGAGCCCCCAAGGGCTGAGGTTGTGGGGAGAGAGAGATCTGGGGCCTCTTCCCTCAGGGCCCCCACCTGTTGGTGATCAGGCTCATGACCTCTAGGAAAGAGAGCTCTAGGAGCATCTTCTCCTTCTGGTCCAGGAAGTACAGCCCCTTCCAGTTAACAGCCAAGATCAGCTGAGACTTGGGCAGTCGGGGGCCTGGTGGAAGGAGACAGAAGTGTGAAGCCTGGGCTGGCCCGGGCTGTGGGCCCAGGCGCACCCTCTTACCTGGTCAGACACCGTTACCTGAGAGTGTGGTGACCTCAAATAGCCGCGAGAAGAGCAGCGGCCACTTCAGGCAGGCGGTGTCCACCACCCGCTCTTGCACGGCCAGCGGCGTGGCCTGCTTCTGCGTGTATGCTGCCTGCTCGGAGGACAGGATTACGCGTCACCTCCATCGCTCATCATACCCCACCCAACTACTCACCCAGCGCCCAAGGTGCTCATTTGCTGGATCATTCTGTGAAGCCTCTGCCCAAAGGCAGGCCAGTGCCGGCGAGGGCTGGGTGGGAGGCTCTGGTGGGCTGGGGAGGACCCCTCACGGGTGGTTTTGAGAAGGAAGGAAGGCTTCCCCCTCCTCAGCATCAGAGCTCCAGAGGCTGTAGGGCCAGGCTCCTGCCTCAGCCTGGAAGCCTGTGAGGGTCATGTGCAGGCGTCTGCGGGCTCAGGCGGGCTCTCGCCAGCACTGGCCTCAATGGGGCTGCATGCTGCTCCGTGCCCAAGGCCAACCATGGTGTGTGTGTCTGTGTGTTGCTGGTGCCCCTCCCTGCCTCTCTTCTGCGGAGCTCTTCGTCTGCACATTTGGGAGGCGTCTTTCAGGGACCTTCACCTCAAACCACCCCCCACCAAGTCTGGTCTCACCTTCCTTCCTCCCCCGTCCTCGGCTCTTCCCCACCTTCACCCTTTCCTCTCCCCATCTCACAGCTCTGTGCTCATCGCTGGCTGTAACATCCAACTGAGCTTTCTTGTTAATTTGTTGAATAAAATGTTATTTCTCTTGTTCCTACTTTAAAAGGTGGTTGGGTAACATTCAGATACTGGATTGGGGGATGTAAATTGATACATCCTACCTGAGACTTGGCAGTATGCAACGGGTGTCAAGGATTTTAGAACAGTCACACACTCTGAAATCCCTTTTCTAGAAATCGATCCTGATGAAATAACCGGCAAACATAGAAAAGTTGTATCTACAAAGAGGTTCACCTTGCTGTTCTAACAGTGAAAAATGGGGCATGACCTTAACATTCATCAGTAGGAATCAGTAAAGTGAATTATAACTCATGAATACAGTACTATGCAGCCCTTAAAAATAGAGAGATCGGTATTTAGTGACACAGAAGTAGGGCCGCAAACTATTAAGTGAAGTAAAGAAGCATGTTTTAAAGTTATCTAATGATAATCCTATTTTTATTTTTTACAAGGGTATGTTTTGGGCTTCCCTAGTGGTGCAGTGGTTAAGAACCCGCCTGTCAATGCAGGGGACACATGTTTGAGCCCTGGTCCAGGGAGATCCCATATGCCTCGGAGCAACTATGCCAGTGTGCTGCAACTACTGAGCCTGCACTCTAGAGCCCGTTAGCCACAGCTACTAAGCCCGTGTGCCACAACTACTGAAGTCCGCGTGCCTAGAGCCCGTGCTCCACAACAAGAGAAGCCACTGCAATGAGAAGCCTGCGCACCACAAGGAAGAGTAGCCCCCGCTCGCCGTAACTAGACAAAGCCCATGTGCAGCAATGAAGACCCAATGCAGCCAAAAACAAAAGGCGTGTTTCTTTCACTCCAATCGTATGCATGTCTCCATTGTGTACATGTGAATAAGGCAGTCTAGAAGGACACATGCCACAAGCTTAAGAGGGATGAAAGGAAGAGTGCCCCCGCTCGCCGTAACTAGAGAAAGCCCATGTGCAGCAATGAAGACCCAATGCAGCCAAAAACAAAAGGCGTGTTTCTTTCACTCCAATCGTATGCATGTCTCCATTGTGTACATGTGAATAAGGCAGTCTAGAAGGACACATGCCACAAGCTTAAGAGGGATGAGCTCTTTGATGTGATATTATTGGTGATTTCCCTGTTGTTTTTGTATTTGTCTGTACTTTCTGGTTTATTTGGTAATGCCCAGGTTTTAAGCGTTTAATGGAAAAAAATCAGTGAAACTATGTCCACTTTGGAAAAAGTGTGGTGTGAATTTCATAATTCTTTACTCTCACCCCAACTCCCCCTTCCCAAATTACGAAGCCACTTTTAACTCATGTTCATCTGGGGTTGTGTGCATCTCTTGTTCCCCTCCATCTTGTACTAGCCCTAAAACGTCCATGGTCTCTCCCCTGTAAACACATCCACTCAGGCTGGGAAACAAGAGAAACAACCAACAGGGTTTGCTTCCCCAAATTCCCGTTCAAGGATTGTCCCCAAGGGATGCTAGCCACTGCCTTGTGGAACAGAACATATGTGGTCAAGCTTGTGTGGGGAACATTGGGTAAGACAATCAGGCTTCTGTCCTGCAGGACTTCTTAGAGCCTTTCCTAAGGGCTGTGCACTGTGACACCCTAAGAGCAGGACAGAGCAAGCTGCATCCCCTGCCGCAGGCGTACAGGACCCTTGTCTACGGACCCACTTTGAGCACCTCCTCCTGTGTTGCCAGAATGGAAAGCGTGTTGCTTGGTCATCCTGCCTGCCCTTCTCTGCACTTGGATGGCCCCTGCTGCCACTCCCCTGGGGCTTATCTCCCTGCCACTGGGCTGTCAACCCCTGACAAACAAGCACCATGCTGCCTGCATATTTCCCACTGCCTGTTGTGTTCTTTCTTGGCCCCCAGTGCAAGTTAATGCAGGGGAGGCATTAACCAAAGGGTTGTATCCTCAGTAACCCCCTGTGCACAGCTCTCCTGCAGCAGCTGCACCAGCCAGCCAGGTCCTCAGAGATGCCTTTGCACCCTCAGGCCATGCTGCAGAGCAAAGCACCCTATGAGGAAGGAGGCTCTGACAGAGGGCCGGGTTTGGGACAGCCCTGTGGGGAGGGGAAGAGAGACAGGGGGACTGAATCAGACAGTCTGTCTTTGTCCCTTCTTGGGGTGGAAGTTTAGGAGCAGCAGAAACCTCCGCTGGTGCGGGTGATCCCGAGAACATGAGTGGGTGTTGGGAGGTGCAGGTAGAGGCTTGGGGACGAGGCTGTGAGCCTCCGGGAGCTGCCTTCACTTGGTGCGGGCTGACCAAGCAGGGGTAGAAGAGGGGCAGCCCTCCCTGCTGTCCAAAGCCAGCCCCGGGCACACAGGGCCCAGCAAGGGGACACCGTAAGGCTTGGGGCCAGGATGGGGCCTCACAGGGCGGGACTGGTGCCGAGGCAAGGGCGCGCTCGCGGTCAGCAGCTGGCGATGCCCTCTCGCGCCGGAAGACCAGGGCCCAGCCCGACACTGCAGTGAAGACCAGTGCAGGGCTGAGCTGCCCTGACCTATGGCAGGAAGCCATCGTGGAAGGAGGAGGGAAGACGGAACGGGCCTGTCAGAGGGAGTGGACCTGAACGAGACGCTTTAAACCTGAAGAGACAGGGCTCTGCTGAGCCGCAAGTTAGTCTCCCAACCCCCCATGAGTGGGGACTCGTCGCGGGGTCTCCAACTGCTCTACACACCCCAGGACCCCCAGGGCCCCCATGAAGAGCTGCACAGCCCGAGTGCACAGGCTCTGGGGAGCTGACCTCGGCATGGGCGGCGGTGACCAGGCTGGCCCACTTCTCTGGGGGCTTGGTCCTGTAGAGCTTGGGGGGGACACAGCTGGGCAGCAGCTCCTGGATGGCCTGGCTCCCCAACGAGGCGCCGAGCTGCACGGTGCAGCACTGGGCCAGTAGTTGCACCAGGTCTTTCTCCTGCACAGCCCGGGGGACACACAGCGGGTGGGGGGCGTTGAGAGCCCACCCTCTGCCAGGATGCTCTCACCCTGGTGCAGCAGAGATGACCACCAGCCACCTCCGCTAGGCAGGACCTGCCCCTCCCCCAACACGGCAGAACCTCCGCGGGACCTGACTGGGCCCCGACGCAGGCTGGGCTCCAGCTGGCAGGCAGGGACCTCCCAGCGGCCTTGGCCTGAGCCCTGCGGGGCCTCTGCCTGAGGACAAGGGGGCAACCCCCTGTGCCCCTCTCTCAGCCCACTGGAGCCAGAGAATGTGTGGGAGGGAGCTCTGAAGCCTGGGTGGAGTCCCAAACACTGCTGTCTGAGTGGGGTGAGTGTGGGCGAGGCCTTCACCCTGTCTCCCCCAGTCCTCACTGGGCAAAGGTGACCAGTGGCCACCCCTGTATGGCCTCTGCAGGGCTCATGTGGGTGGAAGCCTGTGTAAAGCCCCAGCATGCACAGCACAGAGCAGGGTTCCTGCTCCAAGCAGCCCAGTTCTTCCCGGCCACCTTGCCCGGCCACCCAGCTGCCTGCCCTCTGGGCCCCCTTTTCCCTTCGCCCCTGCCTCTCCCTGCCCACTGCCCCATTCCAGGCAGGCCTCCAGGGCTGCCATGGCTGCCTCCGACCCTCAGGGCAGCATCCTCCGATTCAGGCCCGGGAGGTCTGCACCCACTGAACAGGTGCAGTGCTGCCCTAGGACTTCAGGTGCACGAGCTCCCTTCCCTCGAGTCTCACAAACATAGAGAAAGCTCAGGTGACTCTGCACTTTCCAGATGAGGGCCAGAGGCTCAGAGAGGTGACCTAATGTTCCAAGGTCACACTGCCAGGGAGAGGCACAGGTGGGACCTGAACTCAAGTGCTGGGGCTCCAAGGCCATGTTCTTGACCTGCAGGCCCTGCTGCCCCATAAGCAGCTGCCGTGGTGAGGCCAGGTGGGCTTCGGGCTGATGGGAGGGCTTCCCCACCTGCTGCAGGTGCCCCAAACCCCAGCGGCTTGAGCAAACCTATGGCTGAGGGATGAGATGGAGGCGGCCGGGCAGGGACAGCTGCGCCCAGAGGGGCCCAGGGACCTGCACTGGCAGACGCACCCCCGGGCCTGCTCCTCTCCCCTGGCCGCCTGCCCTGCAGCTCCCCACGGCCATCCCTGGTGGCCGCAGCCCAGCTGCCCTTGCTCTGTCCCCGCCGCCCCTGCGCTGGAACAGGGAGCTTCCTCAGGCTGTCTGATGGGTGGGTCTTCAGGGCCCTGACGGCCGTGGTCCCCTCACCTTCTCGAAGCTGTACTCGCCGGACCGGACTCCGTGGAGGACTTGGTGGTAAATGAGCCGGGTGCTGACCGGGTCCTCCCGGGAGTCGTGCCATGGGGTGAAGAACTCCTTCCGGAAGTAGAGGCGCCAGGGCGTCTGGCGCTCGCTCTCGCCCCTCTCCCGGGCCAGCTGCTCACACTGGGCCACGGCATCCATCACGTGGTCGCGCCCGCTGCCCAGGGACCAGAACTGAGGCCAGAATCGGGGCGGCAGGGGTGAGTGACTGCTGCATGTCAGGCCGCCCCACCTGCACTTGGCACACGGAGGACAAGAGCCCGCTGGACGCCCGAGGGACTCCTCCCCATGGGGTGTGGCCTGTCAATCACCCCCCAACACTGTCCCCCTTGCCCGCCCCGCCCACAGGCGGCACATGCCCACGTGACGGGGTCGGAACACTCTGGTTGGTTGGCGTGAGCACGTCTCGGTCTGAGGCTGTGGGCATGGGCGTCAGGGCAACCGGGGGGGTGACGATGTGGGGCTCAGGTGCAGCCGTGCTGGTGTGACCTCCACATTGCTACGTGGGGATCTGAGCTCCCAGCGTGGGGGGCTTGGAGCAGGTTGTGGGCATGGCAGGGGACCTACCAGTGTGCCTGTGACACCGTCTGGGGCCGAGGTACAGCCACTGGGCTGAGCGCATGAGTGTTGGGGCAGGAGGGCAGGTTGCCTGGTTAGGAGGCATGTCTGTGAGCGGGAGTTTGTGTTCGTATCTGTGTTTGGCAGCCGGCAAGGCGAGCAGTGGCTAGGCTGATAGGCGAGTGGTGGATGGGACCCCCTGGCCAGTACCTTGTCGTACACGGCAACCTGCAGGGAAAAGCCCACGTGGTCGCTGAGGCCCTGCTTGTGGGCGATGTGCAGGCAGACTTCCCGAGACGTCGAGGCTGAGTCCACCGAGACGGTCAGGCTCTCTCCAGTCGCCAAGGTCACATGGATCGGGACGCGCTTCTTGGACTTGACAGCCTGGGGACAGACGAAGACTCAGGTCCTCTACCCGGGAGGCTCCTGGACTCAGCTGCCGGCGCTGGTGCTCCCGGAACCCTGGGATGGGAGGCCGGTCCACCATCCCCTCTTCTCAACACGCTGCCCCTGCTGGCTCCTCCCCGTGGGTTCCAGGGGGAGAAGCCTTCTGAAGCCCCACCAGGTTCGGCAGGGAGTTAAAAGTCCTGGCCAAAGGACATCTGCTACTGAACTGACAGACTGGGCCAGGGTTGCGCCCCTGGGATGCAGCTGGCAAGTGGGAGGCCCAATTTTAACATGAGATCCCTGAACTTTGGCTGGGTGACTCAGAATCACAGAAAGTCAAGAAGCTCTCAGAAATGGCTGGGTCTCGTACTCTGGAACATTTTGGGTCCAAGGAAGCCACTGTTCCTCTCTGTGTACAGCAGGGCGTGAGCACCACCACACCGCTAAGGCAAGTTCACATGCAACTCCAAGGCTCATGGGCAGAGCAGGTAGGTAAGGTGGAAGCGGAGAGGCCCTGTGGACTCGGGTGGCAGGGCGAGGATGGGAGGGGGTGTGGCGGGAGGTTACCCTGGTATAGGGCACCATGGGGCACAGACAGTGAGTGCCTTTCAGGAGCTGCAGGTATAGTGGGGGGCAGGGGTGTCCCCTCAACCCTGCCTGCTTCTGAAGGACCTTTCCTGAGGATACTGCAGGAACTCACAGGTGACACAAACAACATTGCCACCACGGCAGACAACCTTGGTTGGCCATATAAAATGCGTATGTCCTCGGGAGGGGTAACGCTTTAAGCAGCCACTCACACCCTGCAGCTAAGGAACTGAATAGACTTACTTTCCCCTTCAGCTGGTAGGGTCCTAAAGGAATGCCGATTTAGATTGGTGGCGAGGG